GCCTGCGGGGCTGATACAGCCTGAACTGTGTCACACCAAAGGCTCTGAGTGTGGTGCAGACAGAGAGTGAGGGAGAGAGAGAGAGAACCCTCAGGGAGAAAACATGACCTCCATGTGTGTAGGAAATGGCCATGCTGGTGAGGGAAATGAGTCAACACGTAGGGGGAACAGCTCCCTCGGCCTGATGGGACACTGGGGGAGCTTGAGTTTCAGCCCAGGGAAGGGGCTCTAATTAGGGGTTAAGAAGTCCCCCAGGCATCACAGCAGCCTGCTGTTTTATTGTTAATTTAGGATCGTCCTAATTCAACGGCACACAAATTAAATAAACATGCACTCAGTTGGTATAAACTCGTCATCATTCACTGTAATGGTATGAGACTTCCTAAAGGATTGTAGCTCAGTCGTGCTCAGCGGAATCATGCTTTAAATATATTCATAGCCTTTGTCTGGAATTGAAAGTGATGCAAAGCGAAAACAACTAATATGCTGTACAACACATCTGCAATGTATAAGCTGCTTGAGAGGCGGTGACAAGGACGCTGACATCACATTCTTGCTGGCATAAGCATAACTGTGCACATAAAGTAACAAAAATATTTTTTTAAGATGACATATAAAGCTCAACAAAGCACCAAACATCAAAAAAATGTGCCTTAGGTGGAGATAAAGCAATTAATCCCTCATAAATAATGATGTTTGCATTGTTTCCACACTTGTAATGTACTGTACAAGAAGTGAGGAAAGAATGTTATTACTCAAACTGTTGCTGGGAAATGCGTCTGTGTGTGTGGTTTGTGTGCGTGGTTTTTGTGTGTGTGTGTGTGTGTGTGTGTGTGTGTGTGTGTGTGTGTGTGTGTGTGTGTGTGTGTGTGTGTGTGTGTGTGTGTGTGTGTGTGTGTGTGTGTGTGTGTGTGTGTGTACCTGGGGCCCACGGCTCCATCAGAGTCTTGGCTCCCTGCCTCACTCGGTGTGCCCGCCGATTTGGGAGTTGGCGAGATGGGAGGAGGGACTACATGGAGAGACAGACAATAATCATCTGTTACAGTACCAGGACACTAAGCTTTTCACAAGAGAGGACAAATACATGTATGCTGCATGTGTCAATCTTAATGTAGATCTCGACATCCTCGACATCAGTGATCAAGAGCTGTATTTGAAATAAAAGCTTTAACAACACTATGATACCTAGTTTGCCTTTATTTATGAATATTTAAAATTATACAATAATTTCGAAAAAGAGACATAAAACTCTGATGTTTGTCTCTCTCTGATTCTAGTGTGTCTGCATCCTAAGACTCTTGAAGATTTTATTATGGATCTCTTCTGCCACCTGCTGTTAGCGACGAGTCAGTGCTCTAACAATCTCCCTCTGAATGAACTGAAAAGATATTTAGGAAGTATACACTGGTATATTATTTACAAGTAGTTGTGAGTAAGGTTGCAGTTATACATTAAATACATGTTTTCCCTTTTTCCCAATTGGTTAGTATGTGTCTTTATCACATTTCTGAGAACGAAAATCTTAACAATTCAACAAACATTACTCCAATGAGACATTGACACGTTATACTCTGTCCCTTGTGAACAGCATGAAAACAAGCACAACATATTCTGGTGTTGGATCCCAATTATGAAAAAGATAATAATTATTACTAAGCCGATCAGACTATTATGGAAATTAAGATTCCAGTAATATGCACGAGAACACTGATGTTGTAAACATGCAAGTGGCTGTGTAAAAAAAATCCCCCTAAAACAGAAAAATGTAATATAAGTTTGAAAGTTAATTTAGTCAATGACTGTTTAAATATTTACATTTACCCCTTGGTTGTTTCTGAGCCTTTCAGTCTGATCTTTAACAATTCAAACATAGGATTAGCTGTACTGAGGTCAGCTGACTGGCCAGTAAAGAACATTCCACTGTTTAGCTATAATATATCTGTTGTTATAAATCATAATCCTACTTACTGACATAGAATAATAAATGCAATACATGTGAACACCCTCAAACCCCAGACAAAGAGTCAAATAACGGTGTAGGCCCTTCCTATAAAATAATTGCAATGTCTGTGAGATATAATGGAAAATGAGGTACTGTAAATGATTTGTTTGTAAAAAAGGTATTAAAGATTATATATGAAACAGGATGAATGAGAGTACAATCCATCAAGTAATAGAATACATACCAGCAGGAGTATCTTGGGTTATGCCCATACTCTGTAGCATAGCCTCCGTCTCACGTCTTTTTTTCTCCAGGTCTGTATCATCCTGGTGATTTGCAGCATCTTTCAATTGGTCCGCCTGGAAACAGATCAAGGCATCAACCATTAATGCAATTCTCTAAATACCCACCTTACATCACAGATCACAAAGTATGAATACCTTCAACTCGTTGATGTGTTCTCATTTCTAGCTCTGTGAGATTTGTGTACATTTTAAAAACCAACTACCTCACTCATTTGCATTGCAATTAAAGGTATTGCCAGATTGTTATTGCAAATAATGTCCAAAAATAAAAAATGGCAAGTGCAGTAACACTTCAAATGCAGAAGACGCCCAAAGAATTTATGTAATGTAATGCCTATGAACAAAGAACAACTTTGTGTATATGTAAATGTTTGTGCCAAAGATTATACTTGTCAATAACCTTGTGTTGGAGGTGTAGATTGTTTCTACCTTTTCAAGACCATTAGGCAATGTGGAAAGGTTTTATAAAGCTTATCCTATCTAAGACATTTATTTTGTTACAAATAGTGGCCTTAAAATATATCTTGCAGCATGTAGATGACCAAAAAATCACACAAATTAAGTGTAGCAGGTAATGAATTCAAACGAGATGTTGCAGTGCTCACACTTAGCCACTAAGGTTGTGTTGCTATTTATTCTACATACTCATTTTTACATTTAATACCAAAGAACACTCGAAGCATTTACAAAATATTAAATATACCGCTTGCTTCTTGCGCTCCTCCTCCTTCCTTTTCTTCTCCTCTCTGATTTGAGCCAGGCGTTGCTTCTTCCTTTCAAGCTCTGCTTTCAGCTCACTTTTGTCAGACATGATGCCACGGCTGTGAACAAACAACATATTCTGGTTTGTCTTTGTGTTCCATAAAGAATGCATTCAGAAATATTATATTTAAAATACTTAGTACATCAGACACAAACAAGCATTAAGGCGTCCTGGAGGTGGAGTAACCTCCTTGTGTGTGTACTGTCTACTGAACAGTGGTGGAATGTATATTTATTCAACCTGTACATAAGTACAAATCTGAGGTACTTGTACTTAAGTATCCTATTTAAATGGAATGCTACTCTATACTTCACTACATAAGTAATGAGGTAAATATTGTACTTTTTACTGTATTTCAATTGTCTGACAGTTACTATTCAGATAACAATACATTTGTATGTCCAGTGAAAAACAATGTGTTTCCAGCTGTATTTTTTAAGATAAATAATCTATTTAAAACCCCCTTTTAAAAAGCTGGGGAAAAAGCATTCTCAGAAAGCTCTTCAACTATAATGTATTGATGTAAACCATACACAAAAGGGCACAATACATGCTTTTAGTACATTTGGCTGATAACACTTTTACGCTGTTGTATCAGTACTTTCACCTTAATCAAGCATCTCAATACTTTTCCAACCACCAGAACTGAAAAATAGTGGGTTCAGGAAACAAAATGCTTCCTATTACCACCGTCTCCTGACAGATGATGCTCTCAGCTTCAGTACCACATTGCACGGCAGTGGAGACAGCTAGCTAAAATACCTAACATAGCATGACCATCCAGGAGTGTTTTATGTCATCTCTGCAGCTCAGTAAATCAAACATCCTTGTTTATTGGAGACAAACACTCTCAGTTACAACCACAGTCCGGCTGGCTAGTCATTGTCAGCCAGCTAACAGAGAGCCCCACCCTTAGCATGGGGCTATCCTGTCCGCTTTAGTCACTTGTCTCTGACTTATATCGTAAGTTGTAAACGCGTTCAAACGACCACCTTGCTCCATTATGTTTTATTGTACAAATCTCATCGTAGTTTCATATAAGACACTGATTGTTAGAATCCAATCGGCCTGTAACGAAGCTAGCATTCCTTGTTATGAATGGCTAAAAGGCTAGCTTAGCCATCTTTGTTGTACAAGGTCCAGTCAATTTAAATTAATATCACACATAGTTATGTCATTTATTGTATTAAAATAAAACGTTTTCGGCTCACATAAAATGTGACTTGCACAACCTAACCCACTATTTGTGTTAAAAGATGCTTTAAAGTTAGCTTTATTTGTTAGCAGCTAGCTACATCAGTGGACAGGTCCGCAGTGCTGTCATGCGCAATGAACAGGCGAGTTGGGCTACAAACGAAGCATTGAATACAAAATAAATACAAGCGTGTGATACACCAGCTAATATGAAATGTATGTGTATATTACAAACCTTTAATCAGGTTTTCTACCTGACACCAGATGCCAAAGAACAAGCCAAAACAAACGGGCTGCCAACAAACTACGGATGTTGGGAAGAGCCAAAAAGACGCACTTCGCTTTTACGTAGCTGTGTTGCTGGCATCCGAGGTCAAAGCAAAGAGGAATCATGTTTGTGAGCATAAAATGCCTCCTAATGAATTAAGCAGCAGGGTCTTAAACAGTTTAGAAACATATTTGATGCAACACCCGGAAAACAATATGTATATGTTTGTTGTTTTCATCAGCTCTGCTTAACTTAAATTTAAAATTAATGTAACAATATTATCTTTGAAAAGCTTTTACAGAACAGCAACACAAAGCCCAAACAGTAATGGACAGTGTGGTAACATATATATATTTATTATTTAAAAAATGTAGAAAGTTTGTGAAAAAATAAATAAATCTAAGAACAGAATTAGGAACATTGTACGTTGTTGTACAGTGTATTCCCAGATTATCTCAATCGTAACAAGCTCACCATTATTTACATATGCTTATAACAAATATAATTAAACAACAAATGCAAAAAAAATTGAAAATATAATATTTTAATATTTGCTTAAGTGTGAACACATAGGCTACATTCAACACTGGATAAAGTACCCAGTCTTGAGTCAGTTATTTACTAATCAGTTAGGCTGATCATCTAATTTGCAACTCCTCTTCCTAACATCCCCACAGGTCTCCTCATCAGGTACATCAGATAGCTCAGACAAGGCTGGACCAACGTTGCTGCTGTCCTCAACTCCCCCGTCGGTATGCAGAGTATGCAAGATCTGTTCACTGGGGCGTTTCCAAGACTTTCGAGTGGCAATCCAGAGGATTAGTGCTCCAAAAACCACGAGGAGGAGTCCCAGGACGTTCACAAAGATTGCCTCTGGGGGAGAGTCCTTGTACTTTGGGTTGCTCCTTAGAAATAAAGTACAACAAATAAAGTTATGCCCAGTCTTAAGCAGCATTAGTACTGTGCAACTTGTTTAAAAGCTTGTATTCCTTTTCAAAATACTTACAGACTAAAAATGAGTTTCTCTGTGATGCCCATGAGTGCCACAGCTATTACACTGGTGAAAAGGAAAAGACCTCCGTAGACATGCAGGGGCATAAACGCTGCTCTCCAGGATGCAGGTGTAAATGGCATCAAGTACATGCCAACTCCAAGAACAAGCTGCTCATTGAAGGAGAAAAAACATCCTCTTATTAGATAACACACTAAAAAGGACTTTTGTTCACAATGACTTGGCATTTTAGAGAAGGTCAAGTGTTTTTTTCCCAGCGTGTTAGTAAACCTGCCCTAGTTTGTGTTGTTTTGAACCAACCCTTAGCTCCATAAAAGAAAGAGTTAAAAAATATAACAGTGGTTTTAACAATAAAGCTCATTTAGGATATGCAAAAGGTCAAACTGTGTATTATTTATAGCAGCAATATAAATACTGCTAAATGAAACCAGGAGCATTTCTTTGTAGACATTTTTCAATATTTTCTGACATTTTATGGACCAAACTAATAATTCTAATGAATCAATAAACATTAGTTGCAACCATATTTACCTGCAGACCGTACAGTATCACAGCTGCGAGGCCCACCCAGCTGTGCAGGCTGTACATGTTGGGGATTTTGGCAGCATTGTGGAAGTCAAAAACTGCCACCATTGATATGACAGCTAGGATGAAGGCTAGTAAGTTCAAGCCAGCATGGATAAACTTCATCATCAGTTTACTGCGATGCCAGGTCCAGGGGATTCTGTAGACTATGATGGCTGCAAGAGGAAGTTACTCTGTCATTCTTGATTCAACAACGACACAACATTGGACACACTTGTTTCACTTGGGCATATCTTGCATTACAATGTTTAAGTAAAGTTTTCATGTACAGTCACGTATTAAAGTTTGTTTGGACAGTGTTGTTGATAGTGAACTCTAAGAAACTACGGAAAGCATTAGGGCTAGACTTAGGGGAAAATATCTTTATTTATTTTTTTATCATTTTAGAAATAAAGTTGAAATGTTGGGGAACATTTTTTGGAATGTTAAGAATAAAGAAGAGATACCATTTAGGGAATTAATTCAAATTTGGAAGATTATGTCAAAATGTATAGAATAAAAATCCAACTGTTCTCTTCTTCAACTTTTCTATCCACAAACAAGTTATTCTCAATAATTATACTTACAAATAAATGTTTTTAAAAAGTCTAACTCCTCTCATTGTTCATTCCTTATGCATAGCCCATATACTTTTCCATAGAAAGCACTATTGTCATTATATTAATGACTTTTATGGTCATGTTTTTGTGAGGTGCAAAGTTCATGCTTCCATGAGGGTCATATTGCTTAAGATATATTATCAGAATAAACTCATAATTGACTTCCTTAACATCACATACTCCATTTGTGGATGCTACAGTGTATACACTTTGAAGTTGAAATTAATTGATCTAACGCAATTTCAGTCATGTTTTTTTAAATATATAAACACACTGTCAGTGGTAACCTCCCCCTCAGGTCGTTGGGTAATCGAGTCTTGTCCAACTTAAAATCATGTTTACACATCTTCAAGACAACCCCCACATTCCGATTGACCAAAACACTTCTTAAAAAGACTAATTTCTCACCTGTTCCTTGCAAGAAAATAAACCCGATCACAATTAGGACCGGATGCCAGTTGAATTCGGCCGGACCTCCATCCCAGGCTAAACCCTCTCTAAAGTGAAGAACCCATCTTAGCACGAATATTATGGAGACCAGCCCAGCGGCCGCGGCGACAGACAGAACCACCAGGAAATGTTTGAAGTTCTCCATCGCCATCAGAGCTGCAGCACCGAGCAGCTGCTTCACAAATACAACAACTTCAAGTGGCTTCTGGTGAGGAGGGACCTCGGTCACATGACCCCGAGCTGAGGACGTGAATGGAGGAAACACGTTTTATAAATGTGGTGGTTTCAGAAGAGTTCCAGCAGTGTCTGGGACTAGTTGAAGAACATCGCTGCATCATTCTGACCAAAACACTGATGATTCATCTCAGCGTAGGATGTTTTTTGAGCAATGTTTTTGACTCACACACTGCTGCGTTTGAGTAACACGTGTCTTACACATAGACTGTATATATAAGGTCTTACAATATCTTTGAGTTTCTATAATATTGTATTTCACTTCCTCTGACTTCTTTGGATTATGGGCTGCTGTCCAGAAATGATAGTGATAATGAAAGTCATAGCCGTAATTTCCCAATCGAGATAACCATTTTGTTGTTAGAATGGAGGGGAACAAAAAGTTCAGTAAGCTGGAAAGCTATGCTGATGTAAGGACTCTTGGTTGGTACCACACATCAATACAATCATAAAAACTAACTTGAGAAAATACATTTAATATGAAAAATAAAGTGATTCAAATAAGAATTAAAAACATTGCAAAATTACAAACATTTTACGCTACGAATTAAAATTTGTTTATGTTTGATCTATTAAGCTACAATCAGTGGACTGTATTTACTCAAGTAGCCTACTGTGAATGCATAAATACAAAATATAATCCACTAATACATTATTATTCACTTATTATAATCCTCAAATATAGATAATTCTAATATGGGCAACATTAGTTATTTCAATATATGTTGATGTCAATACTTTATTACTTTTACTTGAGGACAGGGAGAGAGAGGATGACAAGTAGCAAGGGACCATCATTTACTTATTACCAAAACTCTTTTTTTTTAAAGATAAAGAGTGTAAATAATGTTGATATTTGAGACGGATCAAGTTAATGTAACCCACACATAACAAACATTGACACAGTGATCCAGATATGTTTAACAGAAAACCTGTACAAAAACAAGTTTTGAATTCAAATATTGATATAACCATACAAAGTAAATGCCACTTATTTTCTGGCAGCCTTGAGTTTGTAAACATGGCAGCAGAAGTTGGTGTTCTTTTGTTCAATATGAACAATTGTGTCCTTGTCAAAAAACAACTCATGTCGGTACGTCTGAAAGAAAAGATAAGAGCACACATGAACACATGTACACAGACACTTTAAAATGGGTCGAATCACGTTGGGTCACTCACTTCGTCCCATGGTTCCTCCAGATCAACCGTCCGAAGTAACTGCCCACTCTGGTTGTCGTGCAGTCGGATGTGGGCTCTGCCTTCTCCCTCCTCACCATTAGTTACCACCACTGCCAAAAGGTCAAGCTCATCCTCATATTCCACCATATGGAATGTCTGTAAAGTTAAAGTAACATTATTCTGAAGCCATGCAGAGTAAATATAAGGTTGCCAAAGATAAAACATAAGCTCCGCCGTATCCTCCTTTTTAATGGCATTCTCTTTTAAGATCAGATTCACAGCAGAACATCTTGCCTTTACTGACCCTTATACTTGCTACATACATTAATAATGTAACATTGTGTAGGGAAAGGTTACAGGTGCAGCTAATAATGATGTCAGAAAAAAGAAAACAAGGAGAAAGTTCCTTTCAAACCTGTTAACACATTAACATTTACTGTAAAAATAAAGATACTGTATCAATAGCTAAAGCATACATTTTTACCTCTAAATCTGGGTCATCATCCAGCTGATGAAATCTTTTCTTCACTGTGCGGCCCGATGACGTGACAGTTACTTGTGAGGGCTAAAGTAGGAATCATAAATATACCATTTACATCGCACACATATTGTCATTGTGCACACATGTGATACATGACATATACATTCATGATACATTAAGTCAAACTATGTCTGTATGAAGCACAGCATATATTAGGCTTAGTAGGTCGATAATGACACTTACATTGTTGTTTCGAAGAGTTGCCATGGAGAAATCCTTAACTACCTTTGATGGTAACCCACTGTTCAGTTCACCTTTGATTTTAAGAACACTTGAGAAAGAAAAAAAAACATATATTGTATAACAAGTCCAGTATAATAACATAATAAAAGTAAAGAAAGTATCATACTATGTGTTTATGCAGCAAAGGACCACTTCATAAAAGTCGGACGTCTCAGGATGTGTTTGTTTGGATTCATTTGCCTCCAAACCACAGACATTTTACCAGTTTTTCCTTGCAGGTTTCTTTCATTGTGTCATGTACTGTAAAAGCTGACTCGAGTACTCACTTTATTGTGGCGGGTCCAACATGAAAGATTCTCCCCGAGTCATCAGGGTGGAAGAAGATGGCATCACTCACTAGAGAGCAGCAGTCCATGTTTTGTATACCATTTATTGCCTAATGTCATATATTAAAAAATAATTACAATAAATGATTGACTAGGACATACAATATGAATTGCATAGAAATCAAATGTATAGCAAACAGCACTATAAGCACATAACTATAGCTAGGTTGCTCTTTTGTAAAAAAAATGTAATAGAACTGTACAAGCACAAAAAATAGAGAAGTTTTTATTTTTTGTGACACATGCAGAAAAGATCTGCATAAAGTGGACCATTGCAGGGTTTTGAATAGTGATTACAGATTTGGATCCATCCTGCTCTGTCCAGCAGCTGAATACAAAGACTGTCACCAACATGTGTGGCCCTTCTTACCCTGACACTTTCAAAAGCTCAGGCCAATTTGGTGTTCCATCAGACAACAAGATTGAGGATATTTTTCTATCATTGCCAGGCATATGCCACACTTTGTATTTAGATGGCCAAATCATTATTGTCATGTTATTGTGTATGATTAAAGAGGATTTCTTAAACTTACTAAAGTGCTTTCCTTGAGAGAACAGATGTGGTGAGTGCCTTCGTGACTTTTATGCGGTGGTGTGTAGATGTAGTGCCACGGGTAGCCTCCAATCTGGAAACTGTTATGAGCGCATGACACTTCAAAGAGCACTGGAGGACAATCTGCGCAATAAGACATACAAATTATCAAGTTTACTTTCTAATCTAAAAAAAATGTGTTTGCAGTAAGTAAGAAGATAAATATTTAGCACAAAGATAACACCGATCTGGATTCGAAAACAGTCTCACCTGTGATCTGGATATTTACTGGGATACCAAACGGAGTATCTCCCACAGTTTTGCCTCCAAGAAGTGAACTCTGCTTTCCAAGCATTAACTTCTCTGTCAAGTACTGAAAACAAAGAAAGTATTCAACAGATAGACAGAGCTGTATAAAGCAAGATGGGCCAGAACGATAGTAAAACACTGAATATGCAAACATTCACACATATTCAAATGTTCAACAACTGTGCTCTCTTGCAATGTTTAAACATCTGATTTAATCAAATATTCAACTTGCTTAACAGTGTGCACAAAACTCTTTGAGGATCAACAAATACATACCTTTTGTACAATGTGCTCAAAACTGTACAGCTTCACTGACTTGTTGCTGTAAGACACCACAAGGACACCTAGAGACAGATCAACATCGGTGACCCCATTGCCAAATATCTGAAAAAATAAGATTTACATATAACATCTGCAGCACAATTGAGAATAAGAAAAAAATACAAACAAATCTGGATACCTTTTTGTTGATCTCCAACATGCCCAGAATTTGTAGGGGGAAGACATGAAAGATGGCCATATGCATCACTGTATTCTGAGTGATACCTGCCTGCAAATAAATAAATAAGAAATAAATGTAAACTAGCTTTTTAAACTTAAAGACGTATTCTGAGCTCTGATAAATTGTAATGGGCATGCTCCATGATGTTGTTTTTGTTTCAGCTCTTGACTAGTAATACCTTTCACCGACTGATTTTATATCTATTTTTCTTGGATTGACTCAATAAGCCTATTAAATGTGTGACATGCCAAAAATCCATTCACAGCAAGAACCTTAATTACTTTGAATAAAGTGTCCAATCACTCTTCAGTAAGGCACAGAACTTCAGAAAATAACTTACCTGTCGTGCTAAAGATGATTCTTTGTTTTGAACAGATTTAACATAAAATATCTCTTGAGTGACATCCCAGCCAAGATACCTGCCAGAACACAACCGAGTATAGTTAACTGTGAATACATATATTAATTTACAACCTAAGAACAGAAAACTCAAAGCCTTGAGGATACCTGAACTTGTGTTTCGAAGAGAGGTAAACTCTCTGCAGCTCTTCTCCCGTTTCAGCTGAAAGGCGACACAGCCAGTTATCGGCCGTCAGAGCCAAGAGGCTGGGTTTATGATCAGAGGGGGAGGCTAACGTACTTTCCTGTCAACAAAACAAAGAAAACAACAATCTGAATATGAGTTTTTAAAATATTGTCATGGAAAATGCAGCTTTTTTTGTTTCATTTCACTTACAAGCGAGCTCTGACACAACAGGGCATCTTCAAATTTCTCCAATTTAGATCTCTTGGGCAGTTTGTAAAGAAGTTGAGGCTCTGAATAAACACTGGAATCAGAAGATTTAATCACTCATTGTTAGTTAGAGTAAACATATTTTACTATATTGTCTGTGTCCTTTACATTTTATACCTTGATGCCATCTACTTAAACATCATGACACAAAACATTTATGTTACATGTTGTTACTCTACAGTGTTTGCCCTAGGATGGAGTCATAGCAGCGTTGCTAAGACAACCCAGCATAATGTGAGCGCGGAGCGCGTGGAATTTTTTAGTGCGTGCGAATTGCGCCCAATTTGTTTCTATGAGTCTGCCAGCACAAGAAAGGCTCTTGAGGCCTAGTACCAGGGCCGGTTCTAGCCAATTTTCTGCCCTAGGCGAGATTTTATATATAAAGAATAAATGAAAAATCTCTACAAAAGACAAAAACAGAAACCTATTGACATAGGTAATATACGTCAAAATGGCTTCAAATGTATTCAGTATTGTATGAACATGTTTTAATTGGGGGGTGGACGTCCCATCTTCTAGGGGGGTCCGGGGGTATGCCCCCCCCCGGGAAGATTTTGTTGAACATTTAAAGTAAAATGCTTCAATCTGGTGCACTTTGAGCACACAATTACTAGAGACCTGATCTAGGGGGTACAACTCACTTAGTCGCCCGCAGGGGCAACGTGAGTCGCCCACGGGGCATGTTCTAAATATAGCTCACCAAGCAAATCCAAAATGTATAAAATACACAAAACAAAAAAGGAAATGTAATTAAAATAATCTACCCTATGCATAAACGAAACCTAAATCATAGCGAACTCTATACTTACTACAACTCTATATCTATCTAACACCCCTCCTCCCCCCACCCCACAATGAATATCGACCAATCACGTTCTTGCTTGATTTGCGGGACCAGCGTTGCAGTCGGGAAGAAAAGCCATGTGACACCTCCCCGCTGATTTCCCTTCTGGCAGAATCTACACAACACATCAGCCCCATTGAACACAGCCTAGTCAGAGTTTTACTCTGTGTGTTGTAACTTGCATATATATTTATTGCACTTTATTGCACACGCATGGCGTAATTTCCACTGGGGACATGTCCCCCGCTCTTTTCGAAATCCCGTTTGTGTCCCCCCACTTTACAAATATGTTTATTATTATTTTTTAACGCAGGCCGTCATCGCCACGGAGGAGCACACAGCCTCTGTGAGCGAGCGAGACAGAGAGAGAGAGAGCGCAAGAGCTAGGGAGGGAGAGAGTGAGAGAGCTAGAGAGAGTACACCTTTATCTATTTAATATAGATAAAGTAAGAAGTCATTCCAATGTGTACTATAGGACAGTAAAAAAAATCAAAAAACAGTTTAAAAGGGGAGTGATTAGTAAAATATGCATAAATAGAAAGAAAGAATGCTAACTAGGTAACATAAGATAAGAATAAACCAGTTTAAATGATGTGTTATTGGTTGTGATCATATTCTAAGGATGTTTGGATTATTGAAAAGTATACAGCTCCCATTCATCTGAGTGTTGAGAGCTGTATCCATAAATTCATTTTATGGATTAATTTTTTCCTTTTGTGCACCAGATTGATGAATTTAACTTCAACATTTAAAAAAAAACATCTTCCCGGGGGAGCATGCCCCCGGACCCCCATAGAGGAGGTGAGGACCCCCCTAGAGGAGGTGAGGCCCATGGCATCCACCCCCAAATAAAGCAGGTTAAAATAATTAAATTGAATACATGTTCTTTTAGTAAACACTGAAAATGGGTCCCACAGACCCAAACAGCACACAAAGGTTAAAGATAAGCATATAATAATGTTAAAATATGCTAAATATATACACTGCAAAAAAAAAAAAAAAGAGGAGTAAAAGTAGCCCCCGACTTGTTTTATTTTTTGAAAGTGGCCCTCACCCTAAAAAAGGTTGGTGACCCCTGATGTAGACAGACTGTCACCCTGTGTGAGGCAAACCCACATTTGCGCAGCGTTGCGTTCACAATACATAATTTAAAAAAAATCGCCAAACCAGCAAGCCACCCGGTCCTCCCGATGGCCAGTCCGGGCCTGCCTATTACATACAGTGGCAATGTCTCAAGATTTAGCGAAATACACCTTTTTTAACACACAAATACTACAAATCCACATAACAAACAATCAAACATCAAAAAGGGTCGGCACTTATTATTATTTATATTTTTTTTTAAAAAGTATCATTATTTATAAAAAACATTATTTTTTTAATAATATGTTTTTTTTGGTACCTGGCTGGCGCCCCCTAGCAGCGGCGCGCATATTTCAGCAGCGCCGCCGCTATTTGTATATAGGGCAGTGGTTCTCAAACTTTTTCGGTCAGGCCCCCCCTTAGGAGAAAAAAAAAAGTCGGGCCCCCCCAACACAAATAGTCAGGCTCAGTGGCGGCGCCAGAGATTTCTTTTGGGGGTGCTGTGGGGTAGCTTGACCTTTCATAGAGCGTGCTCAAACATTTAGGGTTTCCCATTAATGTACCGGTCGCTACAGTGGAATTTTCTACTGCAACACTCCCCACGCACATACACTATGTACCCGCGACTGTTACAATGAAGGCTCGATATCAAGTCTCGGCATATAGGTGTAAGCAGGGGTAAAGTGCTATTTTTATAGGTGGTGTGTGGACCTCACATAGGGGGGTCCGGGGGCATGCTCCCCCGGGAAGATTTTTAAATATTGAAGTTGAAAGCATCAATCTGGTGCACTTTGAGAGCAAAATGAAGAGATCTATGGATACATCTCTCAACACCCAGATGAAACAGAATTGTAAACAGATTTACTATTTCTTTATGGATATTTTATAAATCACTCTTTTAAACTTTATTCTTGTTTTACTGTCATATAGTATTTCATACCTGTTTTTCATGTATTCTCTTATTTTTTTATAACTATAATGATCATATAAACGTGTGCCTCGGAAATAATTGTTTACATTAATGGTGACCAACACGTTTGAGACCCACTGAGATAACACTGAGAGTCCTTTAGCTCACTGAGACTCTCAGTCTGACAGGAGAGGACTCTCCTCCACTTTGTTGTTAAAAAAAACTCCTTATATCCGTTAGCGTAGCTCGCTAGCACCAGAAGCTAACATCAACGATCTCCGGTACCGGTGCGCTATCTCTCTCTCTCGCTCACGCACGCACACAAAATGGCTCGTTCCACACACACACACACACAGAGCCGAGCTTTAATGAAACACAGAGACCCAGACGTAATAGTACTGTATCATATTATTTTCGAATCAATAATTTTTCAAAATATGATTTTTTTTTTTTTTATAATCTTTTTTTTTTTTTTAATAACCATTTTTCCTCCTGATCTCTCGCGCCCCCCCTGTCATGCCTCTGCGGGGGGGCGCGCCCCCCACTTTGAGAACCACTGATATAGGGGAAACACTGCTCTAACCACAGCATTTTGGTATAGATGACATTAATAAACTGGGTGGAATTTCATCTGGTAATTACCAGATGAAATTCCACCTGCTTACAGCTTACCTGTAGAAATTCTCAGATTTAGATTTTTTAAGAGATGCATTATGTTACAGTTTAATGTACATTTTAAAGATGTTGTTATAGATCTAAAGCTGAAAAGGTAATATTCTGTATTTTACAGTATGTTTCCCCAAATAATACATTTAGCAAATCTTATTGTTACTCACCAGCTGTAGCAGTTCTGGAAATTTTGTAAGTAGATTTTACCATCCTGATACTTTATTGTGGATTTTGAGGTCCTGCTCCATGCTTTAATGAACTCCCTGCTGTCCTACAATGTAACAATAATAAGGAGATAGTACATTTATAAAGCATTCATAAAAACTGTGAATATCTATCATGATTAGGTTAATTGCCAAGTATGTTTACAATAATGAAATTGGTTTTGTGTACAATAGTGCAAACATAAACACATTAAGAGAAATTGAGATGTAAAGTAATAGCAACTATAGAAATACTATTAAAAAATGTTTTAAAACTTAGATAGAAAAGAAAGTTTACAAGGAAAAGAAAAAAGAAATACAACAGAATATGACACATTATTGTGAAAACATGCAGAAATGTGCAAAACAGTCTTGAGTTACCTGGAGGATGATACCTCTCAGGACCCTCATGTTGTGCCTGCTCAGAGTGCCAGCTTCCCGGATACCTCTGCTCCTCCGGCTCAGCAGCTCAGCGGCGTTTACGGCTCCTTTTCTCCGGTACGGCGCCATCAGCAGGGGGCACTGGTTATGTTCTACTACAGGACTGTTTGTTGTAGCATGACAGAAGAAAACCATCCGAGCTAACCTCCAAGAGCACAGACAGTCAGGTAAGGGCGATATGGTTTCCCTAGTGATAACGTTAGTGCTAGTGATAACGTTAGTGCCCGTCACTGAGCTCCATCTCCCCGACAACACTGAACCTCTTCCACGGGTTTAGGGTTTAACGCGGAAAGTTACCAGCTAACGCAAACTAAGTTAGCACCGTTACAGCAGTGCACCACGACTTCTCGTTTACTTCGTTCTAAAGCTGTTCTTGGGGTTAGTTCGTTATATAACACATAGCGTTCATTATTTGTTCGTTCAGGCGTGGAAATAATGGATATCAACAGTAAACCGTTGATACACGTTAGTTAACTGTTAACAGTCAATGCTAACTGCTCTGTCCCGCACCATGTTTGTAGTTCTTCTTCTTCTTCTCCTTTTTGTTTCATGGCGGGCTGCAAACCAACGTTTGAAGGTGCATGCCGCCACCTACTGTACCAGAGAGTGTGTAACTTCAGACACATTTTTGAATTATTAAATGAAAGAAAAGAAACAAAAAACGGTGCTATATTGTAGAAATTAAACTTGTAACCTGTTAAATAAAGACCAGTTTTTCGTATTCTTCTAAAAGCGTCTTCTACGTGAGGAATTGTGGCACACGACATGCCTCTTGAAGATAAGTGACCTCTTACTTGAAAAATAAATATAATGTAGGCCTATATTTTATATCATAGTATTATTTTTGCTGTATGGGTTCATTACAGCTCTCCATTAATTTGTGTTTACATTGACTAAAGTATCGAAACAAATACTTTTGTGCCTTCATTAATTTGTCAACAAGAAGGTTCAGACTGCTATTTACAGTGCTGGAGTGTAAATAAATACCAACAAATCCCCTCCCTGTAAAACGAAGTATTTCCAGATATGTTGAATTTGAATGTTTGTTATTTTTTAATAAGTGCTCCCATTGGTTGAGGAAATTATCCTTAATAACTTATTTGATCAGCTGAAATATGCAAAAATATTGTCAAAGAATTATAAGATACATTAATCTTACTGCTTTTTTTACAGAAGAAAATGCATACACTTCGGAGCCTCACTGTTGCCAAATTGGCTAAAGTTTCCAGCAGATTGTTTTCAAGACAAAAGAGCTCAGGAGGAAGACCTTCAGCCCCACTGGGTTCACGGATTCTGACAAGTCCTGATGACATATTTAAGCACAACATGTGGTAAGTGATAAAATGTGATAAGACTTGAATTAGTCACCAATTTGTTGTTGTTATTATGGAGAAAGCAGGATTACAGAATAGGTGGATCCACTTTTGAGCTGAAATTTAGGGTACATTTTTTTAAGTGATACAGTTTGTGATTTACTATAGTTGAGCAGATGTATTAACAATTGATTTATAATGCTTTATGTTTTAGGGATCATGTGCAATGGACAGAAGAGGATAAAGAAAACGCACGGCAGAAGGCAAAAGAAAATTCCTGTACACAAATTCCTTTAGAGGAACAAGGCAAGAATGTATTCCCGCAAAAATATTTATCCAAGTTTTGATTGGGGTTAACCTTTTTTTGAAAATATCCTAAAATCTTTTCCACACAGGAACATTTGATACCGAGGCTTGCCAATACTGGGACAAGTTTTACACGATGCACCAGGATAAGTTCTTTAAAGATCGCAAGTGGCTGTTTTCAGAGTTCCCAGAACTGCTTCCTTCAGGGGATCATCCAGAGTTATACCCACAACCTGCTGGAGCCAGCACAGACACAGAGACCAGACACCGGCAACACAACGGGCCCAAAAACCATGACAGAAATACAGACGTCCCCAATCATCAAACAGACTCCTGTCAAGAAGCAGCACTAGAAAAAAAAACAGCTGCCATACAGTCTAACACATTTCCTGGCCAGCACGCATCACACAGGATCTTGGAGGTTTTCAAAACTCACATTTATTGATTTGAATATGATTGTTTAAATATGAATTGTTGCATTTGGACCATTACACAATTGTGATATGAAAACAGTAGCATGCTGTTAGTTGCAATACTAATACAGCACTTACAAATGGATTTAAAAAGCAACAAAATATACTTTTTCTTTACAGGTTGGATGTGGGGTGGGCAACAGTGTGTTTCCCATCATTAATTCCATAAAGTGAGTAAAGTTTGAGATATTTGCACATAATCTACATCAATCTGGTTTCATTATCAGTGCAACATGTTTACAAAACAAAACATTTCAAATACCCAGAATAATGGCCACTAAAATAGCTAATAATAATTCTTTACTGCATAATCCTTATGTCAGATTCATGAAAGTAAGGGTGCATCTGTACTATATTTGTAATTAATGTGATTTTATGTTTCACAGAGGGAAAGACATATTTGTATACTGTTGTGACTTCTCCAAATCTGCCATTCAGCTGGTCAAGGTAAGCTTTTCTCAAATTGCTTGGTATGCAAATGCACAGAACTGCTTTTAGGTTAATACACTTCTTCAAAGCAATACAAACACTAAACTCTTGCTCCAGTCTGTATCTCAGCTATCATTTAGAAATGTAGTTTGTGTGACTATCAAACCGTTTTGGTTCTAGCCTGCTTTTTTTTCTTCATATAGGACCATCCAGACTATGATGACTCTGTGTGTCATGCTTTTGTCCATGACATTTGTGAGGAGACCGCCTCCTCCCCCTTCCCTCCTCAGAGCCTGGATATTATTCTCGCAGTCTTTGTCTTCTCCTCGATTCATCCAGAGAGGTAGGTGAAGGTTAAAAGACAGCAGAGTCTGACATCATTTCTCACCTGCCAGATCTTTTGTTCTATATCTCATTATAAAATCTATATGTAACTGTATAATATATCACGGAGTACAATCTTTACTCTATAGTGGTTTGCTTTAAATGTAAGGCATGGTGGCATACATATTTAATTGTTTTGTTTTTGTTGTTTTACCAAATGCATTGTCCATGCATAAGCATTGTCCATGTAAGACATGTCAGCTCAATACTTCAGTGCTGTTTGTTAATTTATATATCTTGTGTTTTGTTCGTTAGCTGAAATCCTGTTGTACAAGATAATTTTTTTATTCATTGAAATTCCATTGACAGATTGCATGGAATTGTGAACCATCTATCTACATACCTGAAACATGGAGGGATATTTCTCTTCCGTGATTATGGGAGATACGACTTCTCACAACTCAGGTTTAAGAAGGGTGAGTCTACAACTAGTAATGCACACCTGAATAAAGCCATTTAACAAACATTACACTTGTATGTTGTATATTATTCTGTATTCCTCTCTGTGTGTGAAGTGTTGTTTGCCAATGTATTCCATTTTATCTTAAATCGTTTAACATTTTAATCCTTTACAGGACGGTGCTTATCAGAGAATTTCTACACACGTGGAGATGGAACCTGTGTCTACTTTTTCACTAAAGGTATTTTTGGTATTTTCTTGTAAGTGCAAAAGATATTTATTGACAGGCCCGTTAAATTTAAGAGGAGGATACTATTTGGGTACTTGGAGTTAACAGAGTATTCAAGCCTTAATATTTTTAGGCATTTAGATTTGTATACGATACGATAATACTTTATTGTCCGATCGAGTCGGAAATGTTTCAGTACAAAATAAAAGTTATGTTATCTAACAGTTATCTCTGGTTACTGACTTTTATTATTTACTGTATGCTTTACAGAAGAAGTTCATGAACTATTTTCCAATGCTGGATTGGAAGAAATTCAGAACCTGGAGGACAGACGACTTCAAGTGAACAGAGGAAAGAAAGTAGCAATGCACCGGGTTTGGATGCAGAGCAAGTACAGGAAATTATATCCACCTCCACCATCTTGACACCCAACCCAGCACAGCAATGTTTGGAGCTAAAGACCTTTTTTTATACTTTGCATTCATTCCACCCGTAGCAAACAGTTTTACCCAAATGAGTATATGTACTATAACGAAACAGTTTGCAATAAACATACAAAACAAAGAACAAAGATGTGGTGTTATCTGGTATTATGTGCCGTAGATCATTGTATTAATTTCCATTGAAAGATTATGCATAAGCCTATAATGAATTTATTGAGTGAATTTAGGGTTAGGTCCACAAGGGGAAATAAAGTTGACACTTTAAAATGGGAAACTGACTGACCTATATGAATCTGATACAATCAATGTTTTCTTATTTTCATCCCTAAATTGTGCTTAATATAACCCGCACAATGATAGTTGTGCATGATACAAATACTCATGACATGTCAAAATCCTGTTATAAATCAAACTTTTTACTTATTATATTACTTTAAAACAATGCTGCATCACCTTGAAAATATGTGTCTGGCCCAACTCTTTACATTTCAAATAGTTACATTGTTTATACATATATTTTAAATAACAATTGTATCATCCATGTTCTATTTCTTTATGTATGTGTCTTGCCTATTTACTATTACACCAGATTCCTTCAATATGAAAACCTACTCAGCATAAAGTAAACTAAAAATGATGAGATGCATCATACTTCTGACATTTAAGAAGCATAACTTATATTTTCCACTTGTTTTCCTGACTGAAATAGGCAACCACGAAATGATGGTATGGTCCAAGAGCTATTTAAGATATTTAAAGAAAAATGACAGATATTTATTTAACATTTTAAACATCATCATTTCCAGGTTTTTTCCATCAGTCCACAACCCGTACACTAAATGGGGCTGACAATAGTTACTGTGTACAGTGAATAAAATGAAAAAGTAATCTGTGTTTGGACTTTATTCTTCATGTTGACATTGACGTTAAGGAAAAATGTATCACCCTCGCGATAAGAATTTTGCACACGATGCATGACGTTTCATAGGCAACCACTTGAAGACGGAGAGGTGGCCCCGGAGCCAGGACACACAGCTGAGGTGTGAAGAGGTTTGTGCCCTAAAAACATTATTTAATACACTTTTACTCACTGGCAGTCACCCTGCCCCTGTAAAAAGACCCGTGGTATGTCAGTCGGTTAATTTCGCAGCGTGTGTGGAAGATTAACTGCCAGTAGCAACACAGGAAAAGTAGCTTGATGAGTGTCCAAAGTAGTGGAAGTTTGGAGGGGACGCCATCTTTGGTCCCAGCTCTCCACGTCCCCAACACGGACTGTGTTTTCAGCAACATACCACGGCAGGGGTGAAGGCCCGGGAAGGTATTGTTAAACGTATTGAGACGTTCATGTCTTTACTACTTGCTCGTTTGGGTCATTTTGTGCAGAAAGAAAGGGAATTGTGTTTAAACGACCGAGCAAATATTGGTGGCGAAAGCAGCTTGCTAGCTAACGTTACCCCAAAGCGTCAGCTCCAAAGTCAATTGAGCCTGTTTTTGGCTAGCTAGTAGCACCGAAGACACAGGACCGTCTTTCTGTGCCCAGGCCAGTGCAGTAACCTAAAGAAAAATGCGTGCATAATGGCGATAAACCTCTAGGAGAGCAGAAAGGTTATCCGCTGTAGTCGGTGCATCCTTTCTTTAAGCATGCTGAGAGCAAACACTATACAAGTTGCATATAGATGTACAATCATTCAGTTAATTCTGGAAGAGAAATCAAGTATTTCATGGAGGGTTAACGTTTTATCACCGGATAAGTTAGGTATGCATTGCTAGCAATCCTTTGTGTGTAGCCTAGATTGTGATGCTTGCCTATCAATAGTGGTCTCAATATCTGTGCATGTGCAACTGCTGTTAATCTCAACGGTTCTTAAATTGAATTTAAACATGACAGCATGCATCTAACGTTATGTGTAATTATGGTATTTTAAGGAAACCCTTTTTATATAGATCATACTGATGATGGGTAGCTTTGTTTGACCTTTTTTGTAATAAAAGTAACTTGGAGGAAAGACCTCTAACGCTAGATGCCCCAACAATAATGAGGGGTGCACCCATGGGAAACAGGCTGTGCAGCATGCTAACACACGAAATTAAGACATTATGCTTATTTGGTCCTCTTGGTGACCTAATAATGTTCTTACTTCTTGCACTGTTTATTTACCGCATGTTGCAATGATGCAGGACTTTTACTTAGCTTTGGACATTAAGGGAGCTTCAATATGTCCTTGTTTTATAATGCTTTGGTTTACATGTATCAAAGGATGGCTATCAAGAGCACTTTTAAATATGGGAAATTGGGAGACTATTGCTCATCTGTGTTGTTGCTTACATTGCCAGTGAGGGAACCAATTCATCCCAGTTTTGTCAGAGATTTTTTAGACTTTTCAAGTGTGTGTCTGCCATAAACAGGTGGTCACTCTGCTGAGCAGCACGGAGTTAAAATGACATTCAGAGCAAGGGTTGTAAGGGTTCAACCACGTGTTCCTGCAGGGGCTTGAATATAGATAATAGTTATGCACTGGGGCATTCACATTGAACAAAGGGAAGTCCAAGAGGAAAATGAAATATGTGCTATCTATTTGAATTGGATAGTTGACTGCTAAGTGAGGAAACGTGTCTTTGTGATTATAGGGCTACAAAATAAGCTTTGTTGTAACTCATAGCAAAATAGTCTTGCTCTTTCCTCTAGTTATAAAGTATTCAGCCAAATAGACTGCAGGATTGATGAGAAGCCACAGACCCATCATGGGGAAATATACCAAGCATACAGTGTTCCTCTTGCCTAATTGTTACTATGATGTATCCTATTAACATATTTATCCCCCTAACTTAACTTACACCCACACAACTTGGTCATTAGGTGTTGTCAACAGTATGCATGGCTAACTTCTGAAAATATGATCACGGCTTCTGTAGTTTGAGGTATCATTTAATCTTAAATGTATCAAAACATTGATTGTTTGACTGGAAGTGATTTTGATGTAATAGCATGAGCCATTTTGGGACACCTGCTTTATCATCTTCTGATCTGAAAAGTAGTTGCAATGTTGTGTTATTTAGCGCTGTGATACTCAATTTAAAGCCTGCGGTTTGCCGTAAATTGTGTATAACTGGGCCTGCTGAACATTTCATAAATCACAACAAAAAATATAAAAAGAGTGAATCAAAATAGACCAATAGAGCTTGTTTATGGAGAAGCAGTTGTCAGGAGAGGATCTGTGGACCCCAGACAGGGGATCCCTGTCAAAACGTTAAATTGTCCCCCAGGCAAAGCAAGTTGACTATCCCTGATTTAGTGAGTGGGCTGAATTATTCCTGTTACAAAACATTTCTTAAGGAGCTTCATGTTTCCCATTGAAGTGTAGGTCTTGCTTAACAGCAGACAGGGTCTTTGTTTTGGAAGATATAAGGAATGGCTTTTTGTTTAGCTGTTCTTCCTAAGACTTGATTTGTATCATGCAATGTCTTTTGAACACTGAAGCTATGTCCCTTAATTAAGTTCAGCTTCCGTGCTGTTCTAAGATTATGGACAAATGTTCAGAGGTCTGAAACTTGTACATTTGTGGTTTGATTTGATTGCATCTTTTTATTTGACAAGGAAGTTGACTAATCACTTTCCACAACCACCTAGGGAGTACGTTTGTTTGGTCTGTTTCTTTAATTCACATGTTGTAAATAAATGAGCTATTCAGACAACCATGTTTTCATATAGGAGTTATCACTTCCCTTCATCTCAAATATTTGTTGTGTTTGTTCCATGAAGCATTTTTTTAAATGAATGACAAACTGAGCTCATCTTATTGGTGTTATAATTACGTCTTCTCAGTCAGTGTTGTGTATTTTTCCTTTTGCATTTGTCATCCACCTTCTGGTATGTTACACGTTTTCAGAGGTGAACACTAGCTCCATGGGCTGCTGCCAACGTTGATTTGGTGCGTGGCTTTAAATGGATGTCGAGTGTTAGCAGGTTTGTCTATTTCTGGTGCACATTGCTCTTTTGATTCATCTTTGTTTGACCACCAATATGCCCGTTCCCAGCTGCTTTGTTATTTTGTTAATATCAAGCAGACTTTCTCAATGTGTACTGTTCCCCTCCATTTAATTAGATTCCTTTTTATAGATTCAAAATGGTTGTCTCATTAAAGCACAGGTTTAGTGGGCAGACCCCTCTGAGTCAGCAGCAGCAACGCCGAAGCCCAGGGAGCTCACGTAACAATCCCACAGGAGTGCAGTATTCATCAGGGCCGAGCAGTCAAAACACAGCTCGTGGATTCTCATCATAAAAGTGTTTGTGCTACAGAGGCACCTGATACTGGATATCTACTCTGCAGTTTGACGTATCATACATTATTTGGATGACCTTTTTATTGTTATTGTAACGGGAGTTAACGTAATTAAGAGCGTGCTTATCTCCCCGGTGCTACAAAGGGGAATCTGTCTTGGATATGATGACTAGGGAATGTTTCAACGTCTTGGCCTATATTCTGGTCTAGACTCAAATCTTATCACCTGTTTGTGGTTGTAACAAAATAAGTCTCCTTCTTAACAGCTTTGTCATCTGCTCTTGAGTGGTTGCATTAAAAGCTTCAATTAATCTGACGCTTAAATAACTGAGACAATGTGAATTGTTGCTAATCCTCCCAGGCACCATGGATGAGCTGAACAGCCTGGATCCCCGGAGACAGGAGCTGCTGGAGGCCCGCTTTATGGGCGGGGTCAGCGGGAGCACAGGGGGCAGCACAGGTAGCACAAGTGGGGGAACCAAAGTGAGTCCATATTCAAATTTTGGACATAATAATTGATCCGAATACTGTTGTACTTGGCAAAGCTTTGTCTCATCCTCCAATGTTTTTTCCCCCATTTTTTTTTTTTCCCTCAGGGTTTGACCAATAATGACTCGAATCACAGTTTTGGAAGCATGGGATCCTCAAGCGACAAGGAGTCAGAGGTACATTGAACTAATGACAGATTAGAAAATCATTATTTTAAACAAGTTATTTCATTATGTAAGTCCTTCTTATGGGGAGAGCAGAGGCTAAATTAATGAACAAAATGGCCTACTTACATTTTCCCATAAGATCAGAGCTGGAAGGTAGACCAGTATGTAAAGGATTGTTGTATGCATCCTAAA